GACAGCAGCAGGCACAGGGCGTGGCGGGCTCCCCACGGACTGGACCACTAAGCACATGGGGCGTGGCGGGAGGACTCGAGGGGAGGAGGCCACACACAGCCTCGCGTTGTCTGCCAGGGAGCTCAGCGAGGAGGCGCCGCCTACGCGGTCGGCCAGCGAGCTTGGGGAGAGCAACAAGGAGAGCGACATGGAGAGCGACAGCCTCGTGGAGGTGCCCGTCAGCTGACCCCGCCCCGGGGACCCACAAATTGTATTTTTCCACTGCTAATAAAAATGAATTTTCTGAAATGAAATGTAAACAACTCGGAACCACTTTTAGCCTCGTGGCAGAGAGGAAAATACAGATGTGAACTGAGAGCACAGGGCCAGGCCGGGGAAGAGCAGGCTGTGGCTCCAGCGCCCCGCAGGCGCCCGCTCCCTCCGGGAGGCGCCGTGGGCTTCCCGACCTCCGGTCCGCAGGGAGCTGGCCTCTGGGGACAGACGCTCTGCTCCGTGTCCCAGGGCGCTGTGTTCGGCGTCCTCAAGAACCACTTCGGGTTGGGCTGGCCAGATAGCTCAGCGGACTAAAGCGCCTGATTAGGCAGAGCGCAGCGGGGTTCGATCCCTGGCGTGGCTGAGACGGTGATTGAGACTGGGCGTGACAGCATACGCCTGTAATCCCAGCGCCTGGGAGGTGAAAACTGGAAGATCACTCCGCGTCCAGTCTACCTAGTGAGACCCTGTAGGCCCTGTGGACCCAAAATAAAAAAGCACCACTTAACGAGCCAGGCGTGGTGGCACTGGCCTGTTACTGCAGGGCTCAGGAGGCAGGGCTCGGGAGGCTGAGGCAGGAGGGTGGCAAGCTTGACCCAGCCTGGGTAACTGAGCAGCTCTGAGAGACCCTGTCCCAAAACTTAAAGTAGGGCTGGGGTGCAGCTTGGTGGGTGCAGCTTGGTGGGAAGGCTCTGGGCCAATCCCCAGGATGAGAGAGAGAAGGAAATGGGGGGGGGGGCGAGCCAACCTGCCGCAGCTCGCTGACCCCTGCACCCTGGTCCTCCCCCTTTGGCCCCTCCCCCAGAGGGTCAGCAGAATACAGGGGTGGCTGTGCTACCGCCTCTGGGGCCGAGTCCTGTTTCCTCCCAGCCCTGACACGCAGGTGTGAACACGAGTGCTGTCTTGGTAGGGGATCCCCACTCCTACGCACAGGTGGAAAATTCACACTAGCTGGTCTCCCCCGAACCTCAGCCCTTGGCCTTTGGCAGGAAAGTGCCGGGAGGGGCAGGGTAGAAAGAGCGTGGGACAGAAGTCATTCCCGAGAGGGCCTTGCAGCACTGGTTCCAGCACAGGTGCTGGGGCCACTGGGCCACTTGTGTGCTGCTTCGGTAGCCCCGTCCACTTCCCACCCCGCCTGCAGGACTCCAGGCCGCCCAGTCACACCGGGCCTGGTGGGAAGGGCCTGACCCCGGGGCTGCTGGGGAGGACTCTGGGCAGTGCGCGTGGCCATCGGGGGTCTCCGCCTGGTCATTTAGCTGACGCCAGCAGGGACCCCAGTTCTCCTGATGCCTGCCCAAGTCAATGCCCACAGTTCCTCGCAGAGGCTGAAAACTGTCTTGTGTGGTGACGTAAGTCAGCTGACACATCCGCAATGGATTTTTTAAATTATAATTTTATTTTGAAGAGTAAAAATGAGCAAGAAAAACAAAAGGGAAGACAAAAACAGGGTAACATATAACAATACATACATTACAGATTTTCAAAACAAGAAAAGCTGATTAACAGTGATGGATATGTTATCTATTTTTATTGTTAAGTCTGTTGCTCAGATTAACAGATACAGTCATGCAAGATGGGACATGTGATTGAATACTACCACGTGCTTTCTAGGCCGAGCTGGATTTAAAGCCCCCAGTAGCAAGAAGGCCAGGAAGAGCAGCCCCCCTTCCGCTTCTGATGGCTTCCCCAGTGCTAAGCGCCCACCTCACTTAGCCCTCTGGCCACAAGGCATTCTGCTTGGTTTTGTGTGGGGTTTCGTTTCTCACTTCACAGATTACAAAACCGCTCAAAGGATATGAGCAACCGCCCCGATGCCCATGGCCACACTTCTGAGACCCCAAGGTAGGGCTTTCACCCCAGACCCAAACACTCCGGGGCCTCTTTCTTTTCTTTTCTTTTTTTTTCTCTTTCTTTCTTTCTTTCTTTCTTTCTTTCTTTCTTTCTTTCTTTCTTTCTTTCTTTCTTTCTTTCTCTTTTGGTACTGGGGATTGAACTCAGGCCCTTGCACTTACCAGGCAGACGCTTAATCTACTGAGCCGTGTCCCCAGCCCTCCAGGGCCTGTTAGCCATGATGCTGCCCTGCTTGGGACACGGGGAAGGACAGAGCCAGCTGCGGAGCAGAGGCTGGGGCTGGCGATCTGCTGCACAGCCGCCAAGGCCATTTGCCGGCCCTGCGCCGGGCAAGGCTCTTTACTTCTGGAATAAGATCTAGCTAGCTAGCCTAGATCTGACGTCAGAGTGGGAGAATAAAATGCTGGGTGGGCTGGGGGAGATAGTTTGGTGGTCTAAGCACCTGCCTGGCAAGCCAAGGACCAGAGTTCAATCCCCGGTACCACAGGCAGTGCCCACTGTGCATGGTGCCGACCCCTGAGCTGTGCCAGGTGGGGCACACCTATAATCCCAGCACTGGGAGGCTGAGGCAGGAGGATCGCTGGGAGTCTGAGGGAGGCAAGACCCTGCGCCAAATAAATAAATCTTTCAAAACAGAAAAAAGAAACAATTCTGGTCATTAACCTCATAACACTCTGCGGGGAAAAATTCTCCTGTGCTTCGTGGCCAGCACTTACTCTGCAGAGCATTTCTGGTCAGAATAGTTCTCCCTATTTTGCTTATATTTAATATCTTTTGATAAGTGTAAAACCTCTGTGGTTTTCCATTTCTCCAATTCATTGAACAAAACCCCAAGAGCTTGAAAGCGTCCCTGGAAAGAGTCCAGCACCCAGCACGCTGCTGAGTTTTTAGTGAACCAGCCAGGAGGTCAGAAAACAATGGGAGGGCCGGGGAGATGGCTCGGCAGAATAAGCACTGCCTGGCAGGCGCAGGGCCTGAGTTCCAGGCAACCACTGATTTCATGGTCTCACTACTAGATCAGACTCGTAGCAATCCACCTGTTTCCAGCCTCCCAAGAGCTGGGACTGCAGGCGGGCGTCACCACGCCCAGTCTCAACTGCTGGCTCAGCCCGCTGAGGGCGAGGCTGACACGGCAGGCCTGGGATCGAACCCCGGCCGCCCCGCTCCTGCTTGCAGGCGCTTTAATCCGCTGAGCTATTTGGCTGGCCCTAGGCTTATATTATTTTTTCCAGTCAGATTTTATTGTTACATTTTAGATACACATAATGATCGCATTCATCGTAGAGAATTTGTACCTGTATATGATATAACTTGGTTTTTATTCCCCTTTCCCCGCCTTCCCCATTGATCTTATTTATTTATTTATTTATTTATTTTTTCTTTTGTGGTACTGGGGATTGAACTCAGGACCTTGCACTTGCCAGGCATGCGCTTATTCTACTGAGCTGTCTCCCCAGCCGCCTTCCCCATTTAAAAAAAGCTTCATTTTCCTTCCTTTCTCACTTCCCCTTCTCCCCCCACTGCCTTCCCCGTCCTCCTTGTCTCTCAACACCTATTGTACGTCTTGGTCCTTATGCACGCTCTTGGTTTCTCCTACCAGAGAAACAATGTGGTGTTCACAGATGTGTGTCCAACTTAAGTCACCTAAAACTGTGGCCTCCAGGTGCATCCCCTGACGGGGCAGGCCTCAAGCTCATCCGGCTTCGTGCCATACTCCGTTGTGTTTGCTGGTTGGTGGGCGTTTGGGCTGCTTCCAAGACTTGGCCACGACGGGCCGCGCCGCTGTGAACACGGGTGTGCATATCGCTATGGTGTGATGCTTTAGGGGGCTCCCAGCAGTCATGCTCAAGTGGAACCTCTAGTCCTGGTTTTGAGGCATCTCCGCACTGACTTCCACAGCGGCTGCACCGGCCTGCGTACCCGCCTGCGTACCCACCAATGAGCTCTTGAGAAACTCTTGGGGGGACTGTGGCGAGATGAAGGCGAGCGTGAGGCTGCAGAGAGCGGACGCGAGATGGAGCCCTCCGCCCTGCCCCGGGGCTGCAGCGTGCTGCTCTCCTGGCTCAGTCCACGTCAGGTGACACCCCTGCCTGACAACACGCCCACCTGGCTTGCCTCGGGCACCCCACAGCCCGGGGCTGGCCTTGTTCCGCACTTGCGTCCACCCTGGCTTCAGCCTCGCCCCCCATACCAACAGTGGGAGAAGGTCGCTTTCTCCCCACAGCCTCTGCAGCATTTGTTCGTGTTTGTTTTTTGCAGAACCGGGGATTGAACTCAGGCCCTTGCGCTTGCCAGGGAAGTGCTTACTCTGCTGAGCTGTCTCCCTGGCCTTCTTTCTTGTGTTTTTTTTTTTTTTACATTTATTTATTTGTGTGTGTGTGTGTGTGTGTGTGGCCAGCTCAGTCCACCAGGAGGCAGGGCTGGCTGGCATGTGGTGCTGGGGGATTGAACCGCGGTCCTGTGTTTTGCTAAGCTTGTTCTAAGTAGGTGCTTTAGACCACTGAGCCATCTCACCAGCCCCGATTTCTTCTTTAAGCATCAGAGAGTAACTGCATTTAACCATACTCAGCTAATAATAGAGAAAATAGGCACATAGTAATCCACACTATAGCATGCTCCGTGAACTGAAAACAGAACGTGCGTCATAGGGACGGGGAAATTCGTCTTGTAAGAATTAGCATCACGGGGCTCCACGAACGTCTGGCTCCCACGCACTATCGGATCTGTGGCTAGAAACGTACCCGCGGGAACTCCAGGGACCTTCTGCATCCCACTTAAGGGCCCAGCAACCGCAGCGCAACGGAACGCCCGTGCCGGCTTCCTCTCCTCACCAAGCGGTCGCCGCGGAGGCCCCTTTCCTGGGCGAGGCATGCTCAGCGTGGACCCCCGCAACCCTCAGGGCTGCGCCACTCGTCTGTGCCAATTTCTCGATTTCCGCCATGGCACAGTCAGCTGTCCAAGGGATGCACCAGGCACGCAGACCGCCCGCCACCGATTGTACCAAGTCCCATTTGGCGGGGATGGAAAAGCTGATGCAGGCGGCGTCAACCTGGACGCGGTAAGACGGGCCGGCCGCGTGTCACAGGGGAAGAGCAGCAGGAGGGACACTGGGAGCATCTCCTTCCGG